GTAAATTATTAAAAATCTGCCCCCTTTTACCACAGGGATGGCTGCATCTCAGTGTGGTGAACAAAGCAATTTCTATAAAAACAATATGAAATTGCTAAGGGATCCTTGAGCATGATAAATATAGCCACTAGCTATTTTAAACCCTCCTTAGTAAATTATTTGTTTTTCATCAAGTGGGAATTGCATTTTAATATCAATTTATGAACATTAACTAATTACTCCTCACACTACTCCCAGGAAATTGGAGGGTTCCCCCCCCCATTTTACTGGCAGTAGAACTGAGAGACAGAAGAGTGGAGTGATTTGCCCAGGTCACACAATGAAAGTGGCAGAAGGTGAGAAATCCTAGCTCCCAGTCCTGTGCTCAGGCCAGATCAGAGGACAACACCCGTTAAAAGGTTATGCCTCTGATCACAGAATGGCAAAGCAAGCAATTGTAACCCCAAATAGCATGGGTCCCTTATTGTACAAAAGGCTTGATCCTGAGAGAGTCTAAGCAATTTCATACATTATTCCTGTCAGTCATATTTGTGATCTGTGATCTTTCAAGCCTAACAAATACCAAAAATAACATGTAGGTATGGATTGGTTATAAACATCCCTGTCTCTTCTTACCTCATGTACAAAGTGAAAATAATAATTTCAGGATAATGAAAACCCCAGGTTTAATGTTCCATCCTTTTTTATAGGCAGCATTTATCTACTGTAGTTGCACATTTTCTGCTCTGCCTTTTGAGCCTGCCCAGGAGGCCTATAATTAGTCACCTGTGCGATCAATGGTTGACACTCACATTTTAATCCAAAGTGAATGCACCTTTGATGCCGTGCCACATCTATCATTCTGTTTCACAATTACCTCCCTTGCTACTTATAATGCTGCAGTTCATCTTGCTCATTCTTATTTACACAATAAATAGACACTGCTTTTAACAACACAGTAAACTGCCTTGTGACACTAAGAAGACATCATCTAGCGTTGGGTTCTTTTTCTAGTTCTGCCACTGACTCAGTGACCCGGATTTTGAGAGGCACTAAGGGCACTTTTACATGTGGTCCAGGGTGCTTTAATTAGAGTGGGTCCAAGAGCTGCTCTAATTAAGATGCTGCCGCATCTCATGTATCGGCATCCACACGCTTAAAAATTGTGGTGGGGGCACCTGAACTGAAGCTCATTTGACAAGTTTTAAAGTGTCCCCACTGCCGTTTTAAAGCACAGGGACACTAATACATGATGCAGGAGGCTGCTGAAACATGGCAATTGCCATGCTTCAGCAGACTCGATTAATCAAGTCTGCTCCAAGAAGCTGGAATTCCAGTGCGTTGGAACAGCCTCCGCACTTGTGTACAGGCACCCTAACCTACTCCTGATTGGTGCTGACCACCCTCAGTTCCCATTGATTTCAGAGGGCACTGAGTGTTGATGCCTTGTAAAACCAGGCCATGAGTTTCTTAGGACAGGTACCTAATGCTGGATTTTACAGAAGCTTTTGTAGGCCCAGCAACCTGTTGAGGGCTCCAGCTGGGGCTTGAGGCACATTTGAGCCCTCAAGATTTTCAGAATAACCTGTTGATCATGTGTCCCAGGTCTCCTAAGAAATATTTGGGGGAGCAACAGTCAATCAAGATTTTCAAAAGCCCCCCTAACAAGCATATGAGCTGAGGTAGGTCTCAAGGAGGAATGTATATGAGTATACAGGCATTACAGTTTAGAAAGGTCATGACACACTGAGAGGGCAGTGCTAGAGGGTGTGAGAAAAGCCAGCAGGCTGGGGAATGTGGCCCGCATTTGTAGACCTGAGGATCTGTAGCCAATGAGAAAATAAAAGCATAGAAGGGAAAACTTGTGGATGGTCTTGATGAGGAAGACTGTCATTAGCTTTTACAGTGTTTTGAGACTTCACATTATATTTTGCCAATCTAAAGAGAGCAGCTCATCTACAGAAAATGAGTAGAGGTGAACTTCCAACCTTTTTTTTTTTGGCTGTCTTGAGGCTAAAACTCCAAAAATGTCTCATCACATGTTACATTACTAGGCTGATTACATAATGAGCATGAATATCCAAGGCCCAGATCCTCAAAGATATTTACACATCTGATTTCCAATGATAATAAGAATGAGGTACCATAAACACTTTTTTGGGTCTGGCCCCTTACATTTTTCATCTGTAGTGCTCAAAAATGGCTTGGGAAGGAAGGTGAATGTCATTATCTGAGTTTTAAAGGTGAGGAAGTTTCACGGTAAAGAGAAGTAACTTGCACCCGCAAATGCAGTGAATAGGTGTCAGTGCCAGGAATAGCACAGCTTTTGCTTTCTAGCCCACGGCCCTATGTACTGGAGCAAGGTGATTACAGAAGCTTACAGCTTTACTTCTAGCTTCCTTGAAGGGTCCTTCATGATGCATGTTAGCATTTTACTGGATGAATTTACCTTCTAGCCTCTGCCTTGATGGGTTTAAAGCAGCAATTCTCAAACTTTTTAGATCTGAGGCAGCCTCATTAAATTTGAGGCACTCCTCAGAAAATGCCAGTACTTAAATTTTTATTTGGTTTTTGAGTACAGAAACATAATAGAGCAGTTTTGCTGATGCAAAGAATGCAGAAAGCCCACAACAGTTCAGAATGATTTTATCACAATAAATTCCCATTTGAAGTCCCTGAATTTTTTGTGAATGATGTTTGCACTGTTAGGTTGGCAAACATCACATAGCACCCTGCAGCACCCTTGTAAGGCTTCACGGAGGTACCCGAAGATGAAGTTACCATTTGGGTTCACTGTATGATATGTACAGATAAGCTCTGAAATTAGGTTTACTATTGGGGTGTTTAATCACAGCTGGTGCAAAGCAGTGTTCAGTTCTATTGTCCTCATAAATGTATTATAGTATTTGATAGAAATGTAATTTTGATATATAATTATATTTCAGCTAAAGTTGTTAGTACGGTAATGATTAACTTGAGCTTCCCATGATTATTCACGTCTAGGAGAATCAATGGCTGAAAATAGCATTTGACTTGGTTTGCATATTGGTCCTCCAGCAGAGGAAGCCTGCATATGATCAGACAAGGATGTATTTATATTTTAAAAGAAGCCTAACACCTAGCTGGTCAGACCTATCAAACAGGAAAAACAGCATATCAGATCAAGGAGTCTACATGTCTAAAAAGGTTGCAAGAATTTCATCTGGTAAATATGCACCTTTGGGGGCATCAGGAAGTTAACTGGCATAGTGTGGACCCACTAGAAATGAAGGGGTATGATAAGAGCCAGACTGGCAAAGGCACTTAAACCTGCTTAGAGAGCATAGATGCGTCTTCAGTCTTCCTAGGTACAAAGGAGTTGCCGAATTCGCCAGCCAAGGAGGGTTGGGTAAGTCAAGCTGAGAGGGAAATGCAGGAGGCCTGACGGGCAGGGTCAGAGCCAAAAGCTGCATTTAGACGCCTGGAGGTGGTTAACGACTGAATCTTTGGTTTTAAGGGGTAGGTATAAGAACAGGTCAATGATCCAGTAATTTCTTGTTTATTTACTCACATCTATCTCAGCATACGCGTACTGGTTTCTTATGCTTGTTCTGTTTTTATAAAAAATCCTTTTGGGTGGTTGTCTTCTTATTGGTTGCTAATGCAAGGAGTGACTTCTGGGTGGGTGATATCCAGGCCAACCCTCTCCAGAGAGGGGATCCTAGAATTTCTTTCATAACGCAAAATTTGAAGGGCCACTGGGAGCTGGCAGAGCCCCAGCCCTGCATCTGCAGAGTCCAGGCCCCAGGGCTGAGGACCTTGGGTACTGGGATAGGGAGCTATCATGGGGCCACCTTGGTCTGTTCCTTGGGGCAGGTAGCAGTGCAGCAGGGGAGAAATGTGGGGCTCAGGGCATCCCCTGCAGATGGGGTTTGTGACAAAAGGATCTCAAGGTACCCCAGGGAGCCACAGCCCTCCCAGCTGAAACTCACCAGTTTGAAAAAATGTATAACAAGGAATGGAAGAACATACATCAAGGAAGGTAATCACCACTGTGCCCCTCCCTGACTGAGAATCACTGGGTTACAGCCTGTACAAGGACAAGAAATGGTGTCGCTGCTGTCCCTGCTCTCCCTGGCTGAAAGCCGTTGGTTTAAAGAACAAGGAACAGAGTCATCTCTGCCCCCTTCTCCCCAGCTGAGAATCCCCAGCTGAAAGAACAGATAAGGAGCAGAGCCGCAGAACAACGAACGGGGCCATAGAAGCCAGGAAAGCGCTCCACACTTTTACTTAAGAGGCCGCGAACCGGTAAACTGAGCGCGGCCAACGCCATGACCCAGCCGTGTGCTCGCTCCAGCAGCTGACAATGGGATGAGCCACAAAGCCATGCCACACAAAAGGAAAACCCAACAAAAAACTCAACCTCACTTTGTCTCTCTTTCTTATTGCACCATTAACTTAAGGTCTGCTGGGGCAAGCAGCTTTCTTATCACCAGGGATCCTGGTTTTCTCTGATTAAACCCCCCCCAAAACAAACCCCAATTTTGAGGTTTGAAAAAGTAACCCAAAATCCACATTTGTCCATGATTAAAATGAAATGTCACTGATCTCTCTAGATATCTATATCTCGACATCACGCCATCTAGATATCCTGACATATTGACATCTAGCTCTCCCTCTCTTTCTTTCTAGATATCTGTAGATATTGATATCTCTCTCTCTATATATAGTGGGGTTTCATTTTAATCACAAAAAAATGTGGATTTGGGGGTTACTTTTTTAAAGCTGAAAATTGGGGATTTTTTTTTTTTATCAGAGAAAACCGGGGTCGCTGACGACGAACCCGCTCTCCTGCTGCTGCTCTTCCACAGCTCGCGAGCGTTCTTTCCACTGTGACGCAATCGCTTCCTCGGGCGCAAGCCCCACCCCGGGGCGAGGCGGGTTCTGTCGCTTTAAGAAGCGGGAGGGGACTGAGACTAGAGCGCGCCGGAAGTGACCCGAAAAGGTGGGTCAAAGGTCAGAGGTGATCGCCGAAGGGGAAGTGGGGGAGAGATGGCGGGGGCGGCCTGGGTTTGGCTTTCCCCGGTCAGCGGCCGCGTTGCGGCCCCCGCGGGCCCGGCTCCCTAGCGCGGCTCAGGGGCCGCCGTGGGCTGGCGAGAGGGCGGGGCCGGCTCCGACTGTCTCCCTGCGCTGCTGCGGCGCCGCTGTCAGGTACCCGGGGCCAGGGTACAGGGTGCAGGCTCCTGCTGGGCGCCGTGCCCTTGTCACCTCCCGCGTTCCACTGGGCTCCCTGTGTTCCACGCGCCCCCGCCCCCACCCCCATCCTGGGGAAGCGCACGTGCCTGCCCCTGGGCTCCAGCGGGGTCAGCCTGGGGTTCCGGCTGGCTGAGCTCTGCGTGACACACGTACAGGCATAGACAGACATTGTTTAGTAATAATAATAATAATATAACGCCTATAAGTATTGACATGTTTAATATAACTATTAAATTAACATTTATTTATTAACAGTTATTAACTACTTAAATTATTGTAATAATGGTGTGTGTGTGTGTGTGTGTGTGTGTGTGTGTGTATGCATGCACGCACGTGCACACACATGCGCGCGCACGCACACTATACTAGCTAATTGCCCATCAGGAATGATGGGGGTGGGGAGTAGATTGGGATAGAGTCTAGTGGGGGCCCCCCCTCCTGCCCAGACCTGCTCTCCCCTTCCCTCCTGCTGCTTGAGGTCCCAGGCCACTCCCCCCCGCCCCCCAGCAGCAGGGGTGTGGGGGAGAACTGGGCCCAAGGGTGGGGAGAAGCCAGGCTGCCATGGTGGGGAGGCCTAGGCCAACACTTTCTCTAACTTCTCTCCCCCAAGTTGGTCAGGGCCCACTCCTTCCCCCCCCCCATTGGCCCCAGGCCCACTATTTCTTCC